TTTGAGAGTAGCAGTGACCTTCCATGAGGGACACAGTCACCCCAATACCACCTTGTAGAGGAGCTGAGGAGGAAATACCTGATGTCATTTTCTTCCCCAACCTCACATTACTCACCAGGGCTCCTCAGTGGCTGTACCCAATGGGAAGCCACAAGGCAGTGAATATGCTCAGTCCTTATGGTAAGAAAGCAGGGTAGAGAGGTGTGGTGAATAGATCTGGAGAACTCAATGGAAGATACCAGCACAACGCCATTTATTTAAACTGTGAACATTCCCTTTACTCCTCACAGCTGAAAGTTCTTCTCAGGACTGAGTGTTAAATTTTACTGTATTAAAACAATCATATAGATTTTTTTTAACCCATTTGATACATTGTAGATTTTGTGATGTTGAACCATGCTTGTGTTCCTGGCATAAATCCTAGATTGATGAATTGGATTTTCTAAAGCTTTATATATCTGTTTTAATAAGTGAAATGGATACCATTTTCTTATTCTTGTTCATTCCAGCTTGCCATCAAGACTGAATCAGTCTTGTGAAATGAACTGATGACTTTTCTCTAAGACATTTATTATAACACAGGTATTATCTGTTTCTCTAAAGTTTGGTAAAAACAAATGTTAGAAAACATTTTTAGTCACTTAGACTTTTAAGGGAAGTGAAAAATTTTTCCTACTAACTTAAATTCTTTATGGTTCTTAATTGACTAGCACATCTTATTCTTGCTAATCTATGTTTTCAGGAAATTATTTATTATCTAAGTTTTGAATTTCTTATTTAAAAGTTTTGTCTTCATATTCAGCTCACATCTTAATTTCAAGCTTGGAATCTGGCTCTTATTTTCCACCTTATAGGAGTGTTTTTAGATCCCTGTTAGCCACTTGCATTACTGTTTTGGTTTTGGTCTACAGAAATGTTTAACTTGTGTTAATGGCAAGCAGTATCTTTTTTCAAATTTGCTTTACTTTTCATTGCTAGCTGTTCAGAGTGAAGAGTGTGGTTGAGATGTGAACTCACAGCAGTGTCTTTCTTGATCAGAAATTCTTCTTTGACTTTATGATTTCTCATTGCAGAGCTGTCCTGGATACCTTTCCCTGCTTCCTAGAACTTTAAAAGACACATGGTGCCAGACAAATTTTACATTTTCTTTGAGTTGCTTCCTCTTCTTGCTAGTAAACAGAAGTAACGATCTCACGTTAATGTTTAATCATCAAGATCAGAGACCTGCAGGCAATAGTTGACTCACTCCTGATTCCTCAGTCTCCTAGTAGACATTTCAGCTGATTCTGCTGAACATTTATTTTTCTTGAGAAGCCATATAATCCAGAATTCTTTAGCTAAAGAATACATTATTAAATGGATTTTTAAAAAGGAATTATTCCACCAATAGACTAGTAATTCCTTACATGGTTGTCTCTCTGAAGATGATGAATTGAGGCATGTCACTTTCCAGAGAGGAAAAAGGACCCACGCATATGAACCCAGAATTTTGAGGCAATGTCATTTAACTGGTTTATTTAGCTGAAGTCAATTTTCCTAACAATTTTTTCTGTAATGCTTCTCTAGCCAAGTGGTTTAAAGGATGGGTCCTATTTACCATGTCAGTTGCTGCCATCTAGTGGTTTATTGAGGAATAATGTGATTCTCTGGGTTCTTTTCAAAGGCCAATAGTTCTTGGAGCTATCCACCACTTAACCCTTATCAGAAAGGTGAGTTTAAATAGAAAGATTGAGAATAGAAGAAAAGGATATGATTAGTCATATCTTCATATTATCAAAGCAAAAACCTGACCCTAAGAATTTATGGATTTTAGGTGATTTTTTTTTTATGATTTTAAGTGATTAAAATGTCTTGACTTCTTCAAACTCAATTTTCAATCATCTGCTACAAACAAACTCTCCCTGATCTGTTTTGATGTGGTTCATTTATTCACTGGAAGCAGTGTGACAGCCAATAGTCCCCAACCTGGAAAGAAGCAATAATAGTCCCTGAGAGAATTCTGAAAAGTATCCACTCCTAGGACATTCCCCAGACCTGGTGCATCTCAATCTCCAGTGAATTGCCTAGGATTTTTTTTTTAACTCTGGGAGATTCTGATAAAGTATTTGGGGTAAAAAATATGTGGGGAAGAGCATGAGATTTGGAACTGGACACACTTGAGCTTGAATCCTGGTGATGCCGCTTCCTGGCTATGCAAACTTGGACAAGTCATTGATCTCGTTGAAATGAGGATACCCATACTTATGCAAAGATTTCACTTGGAGATTAAGTGACATGGGATATTTATACCTGAACATGGTACACAGTGATGGCTGCAAAGCCAGACAGGCCTAATCACAAAGACCCAAATCCTGAACACTCCCCAGTGCAGAGGAGACACAAACACTTCTGTCAGACCCTGCACCCAGTCATTGCTGGTTTTCCCTCCCACAGGTGTCTGGAGGGTCCCCCCTCCTTTGGTCTCCCTTCCACTTCTTTTCAGTGCTCTGACTCAATCAACTGCTGTTTCTCATGCTAGCTAGCACCTTCATGTCCAGCAAAGTGGAGAACAACAAGAACAAACAAACTTTTCCTATACCGATCATGTCTCATTACATCTTCGCTATATTATGCTAAAAGACCATGTCTTTATTGGAGGTGAGAATGGAGCAGAGAGCCAATTCCTACCTTAAGTGCAAACTGCCTGGCCCCTGTCTAACATAAAGAGGAGTTCCTCCCCCTTAATGTCTCCTCCCTGTCTCCATTGCCCTTCTTTTCTTCCTTGCCAGGTCAACTTTGGATTGCTCCAGCAGAAAGTAGTGCTGACCACTGTCCTCAGAACAGGGCAGGTCCAGGACCAGGGACCAAGGAAATGACCTACAGAAAACAAGTGGGAGGCCCACATCATGTTCCCCTACATGGAGTTCAAACCCTAGAACCACTGAAAAGAAAAAAGAGTGATATCCCAGCCAAATGTATATCTTCCTTCTATATCCCACCCAAACTGTATCTTCCCACAGGATTCTCCACCTCAATGGATAACACCATCCACCTTTGAATTGGGGTATCCTTTGGAGACTTCAGCTTTTCTCCACCAAGCATAACAGATCTTCTTGTTTTAGGTTTAAAAATTTGTAGAGCCTGTCAGTCTTCCTCCATCAATCCCTGTCAATGATCTTTGCCCTCCTAACTGTTCCCTGAATGTATAACTGCTATTCTCTAATTTCATTTCCACACTGTAGCCAGAGTGATCATTTCTTTAAAAGCAAAGGCAATTATATAACTTTACTTAACAGACATCGGTGACCTTACATTACTCTTAAAGATCAATCAGCATCATTAGAATGACTTCTCAGCCCTACACACTTGACCCCTACCTAAGAGCAGCCACATTTCGAGCTGCTCTTCTTCATTCCCCCGCTCCTTGAACTGCAGCCAACTGACCTTTTGCATTTCCTTCAACAGATCTCCCCAGGCCAGGCTAGGGCACATGCTATTAATTCTGCCCAGAACATTTCAGTACCCTAAAATCTCCCAATCTTCCAATTTCTGCTTAAAAAATTACTTCCTCAGGAAGCTTTTCTGAGCTGCTTCTTTCACTCTTTCCCTCTTGTACTAGTTTCTATGGCTGCTGTAACAAAGTACCACAAACCAGGTGCTCAAACAATGGAAGCTCATTATCTCACAGTGCAGGAGGCTGGAGGTCTGAGGTCATGGTATCTACAGGGTTCGTTCCTTCTAAGGACTGCCAGGGGGGATTTGGTCCCTGCCTCTTGCCTAGCCTCTGGCAGTGTGCTGGCAATCTTTGACATTCCTTGACATCACTCTGATCTCTGCTTTCATCTTCACACAGTGTCCTCCCTGTATATGTATCCCTGTCCAAATTTCCCCATTTTTATGAGAAAATATCATATTAGATTAAGGGTCTACCCTACTTTAGTATGACCTCTTAATTAATTACTTCTTCAATAACCCAGTACCACATTCTGAGGTACTGGGGGTTAGGATTTCAACATATGAATGGGGAAGGAGCACAATTCAACACGTGACACCCCCCATTCATTTATAAGGTTGGGTCCTCCAGTTATATATTGCCATAGTCTTGTTCTAGAGACTTTTTCTTTGGAGCACTGATCACAGTTTATAATTATCAGTTGAATAATCATACAAGCAAAAGTCTATGTGTTGCCCATAGTAAAATCTCCACAAGGGACCGGGTCTGTTTATGTTGACCATTTTATCCCTGTGCATGTAACAGTCACATAGCAAGTACTTGCTGGGTAAGCAAATAAAGTCTCCACTCCCCTTTTGCATATCAATGTGAGGAGAAAAAGCTTCTTCTCCCATGCTCCATCACCTCTCAGTGCTCAGTTTATGGAGCATAAGGTAAGAAAGTCTGAAGACAGACTCATGGAAATGAATGATCTACAGAATTAGTGATCCTATGAAAACCCAATGTGATATCCCTTACAAAGCCAAGCCTCTGCGAGAAAAAGACATCTCTAAGATTTGTGAGCATATTGCACTTTCCCTTTAAGTGTATGTCAAAGTCACCAATGATTATTATTGAGAAGTCTGAAGGAGCTTCTCTGGATATCTTAAACACAGGCCACTTCCCTAAGGACTGAAATAGTTCAGCTGAGTAGGGAAGGGAGAGTAAAATAAAGTCACTTCCTGCTGCCTCTTTCATCTCTAATATGCTAAGACCCTGGCTATTTGATAACTTTGAACATGGCCCCCCAGTGCAGACAGAAAAGGAGTCTAAGCCTCTTAACTCTCTGATCAAGATTTCAAATTAATAAGTCACTGACAACAGTGCAATAGAACAAGAAAGAATCCAAACAGGTCTAAAAGCCTTTTGTACAGATATGACTATAATTTTGTTCAAATCACCTTCCCTGCATGCTCGCAGGAATAAGTGCTGCTTTTGCAAAGTGCTCAGATGGCTTAATATCTGGCTTTTGTGTTTCCTCATTGCATGGCATGGGGAATGCTGACTACTTTAAATGTTGGACTTCTAGAAGCTTGAACCCATTGACCTGCCACAAGTAATTACCTCTGAAAGTCTCCTGTACCAGCAAGAAGCCAGGACAGGACACAAAGCAAAGGTGAGCTGTGGCATTCATTGGAGGGAGTGGCTAACTGGAGGGCCATGCAGGATCAGGGTGAGCAGTTCTTTTCATGTTCTCCCTGCAAGAAGAGTTCAAAGCCAAACCAGACAGTTCAGTCCTTCACAGTTAGAATGTTTCAAAGCTATCTATTCTTACCTGTGCCTGGCTCCAACTAGCAACAGCTCCTTCTTCTTGGATGAGCTCTGGGCCCTTTCTGCTTTGTGATGAAAACAGTGCCTTGAAGATGAGAAAGAGGAAATTTACATGGATGATGGTGATTCTAAAAGTTTTCAAATCTCTGAAAAATCCTGCATGACTCTTCCTTTCATTCTTTCCTCAGTTTAAAACTTTCTCTTTGCTCTCCATTAGCAGAAAGAATCTTGTCTATAAGTTCTTCTTGACTTCTCTGTCATAACCCCACCAAAATGTAATCATGGAAAGGTCTCCATTAGATCTTTGTCCTGCTATACTCTTGTAATGCTCTGAGTAGAACTCCCCACACCTCTCCCTGCTGCCAAGAAAAATGAAAGCTGTGAGGTAGGAATAACTTTCAACACTTTCCACACCTGATTCATTTTGGAGTCAGCTAGATGCTGCTGTGTGGCTAGGTGACTTGGTAAGAGATATCCAGGTACCATGAGATTCTCAAGGCCACATTTGTGCTGCCAGCAGTGGAGATGGGCCCCTCCCTGAGCTTTGCATCCATTGACACAGGCACTGTCCACAGGACAAAAGCTACCACTCAATTTGGCCCTTCCGTTTCCTGGCAACAGCAGGTAATAAGTGAAGATGTACTCCCTTTTGCTTGCCCTCAATGACCGTCTGCACTGTCCCACCAGAGTTCATGACACACCTGGGGGAGAGCATCAGAGTCACAAATAATCAATTTCAAATTCACCCTAAATTGCAATACCCCCATGGCTTACATTGGCATATGAGAACACACTGTAGAAAAATCAGTTCCATTTAACCACTCAGTGGTTCTCTCATTTCATAACCAGCCAACCAGTCAATGGTAGAAGAGGCAAGGAAAGAAAAGAAAGGTTTTATCAAACCAGAATACATTTCTAGAGAGATAGCAATAAGTATCTATTGGCAGGGAAATGATATTTGTCAAAATGAGATTGTCAAAACTTTACATTGCAGATTTAGAAAACTTTGTAGGAACCTTTAAAACTACATGATACATAAGGCAGAATGCCACTTTATTCACTGATAGTGATTCAGAGCTCTTGTCAGGGACACAAAGTGGTTTACCTTTGTCATCGCAAAAGGTCTCTATGGATAATGATGGATTAAGATCTCACCCTGTTCCTGTGGATCACAGAGTCAGTAATGAACTACCCCATACTAATGAGTATGTCATCCTTCATAGCAGGAAGTAGAGAAGAAAATGCCAACTCCAATGTATGCTGCTGGGAAAAGACAATATTTGCATAAGATGCAAATGCTGGAAATGAACCGTAAAAGACAAGAGGTAAATACAGAAGAGTGTCATATTTGCCAAATTTATACCACATAACCACTGCCCTGGCACATGAATGTAGTCAAGCATATGTCCAGTCTGTACTTAGCATGTTTTCAGTTAGTCATGGGAGCTGGAGCTCCACTGACTGAAGCAGTGAAGAATGAAGATCACCTCTGTTTGCAATCCTGTTGAGTCTTTTCTATTTTCAGTTCTCTTAAGGATATATCTAGGCCTCAAGTGTCCTAAAAACAGGTTGTTCCTCTTGTTTTATTGCTCCAGCAGGAAAATGGGGTAATGTTTCTTGGTTTACTAAAGGAGGGGTGGAATTCTGATACCTAGGCCTCTCCCTATAATTCATGCCACAGAAGTATCTAATAAGAAAGACCTTGTCTTGGTCTATCTTCTGCTGCTGTAATAAAATACCACAGGCTGGTTAATTCTGGGAAGTCTGAGATCAAGGTGCTGACATCTGGTGAGGGCCTTCTTGATATGTCATAACATGGAAGAGGGCATCACACAGCCAGAGAGTGTGAGCGAGAGGACAGGAGCAAGAAAAGCCAAATAACTGACTTGCTTTCACAACAATCCACTCCCATAATACCTAACTCACATTATGATATCAGACTTCATCCATCACGAGGGTGGAACTTCCATGGCCTAAACATCTATTAGAGGCTCCACGTCCAAATGCCATCAACACATGAATTTGAGGATTAGCTTCCAATATATGAATATTGGGGGACACATTCAAACCACAACAGACCTCTTGTAACAAATCCCTTTGCCACTAATGTCTTGCAACTGTCATATTCTAAACTTCCCTGACCAATGAGTCTATAGTTACTGTCCTCAGCAATTCCAAACATGTCACCTAGCCTACAAAGAAATGTTTCTACAAGCACCTTCATCTTAACTGAGCCATATTTTTTGAGGCAGCAGACACACTCATCTTTCTCTAGCAAGCTTGAGATAGCTCTCATACCTCCTGAGTGAAAAAAAATTGTATTGTGGTTACGGAATTTCAGATGTGTATAGACAGTCTACAACTTGCAAAGTGACTGATTTGTTCATCTATTCTAGAAAAAATAGCTTGGGGGGAATATTAACCATTTCTAGCTGATCATTTTCAGGCCCAAATGGAGTCGAAGAAAAATCTTGCCATGGAAGCAAGAATTAATAAGCCAAAACTAAGGGACCATAAAGCCAAGAAAATACTTCAAAGTATCCCCAGGAATGAAGACTATGATGTTCTAACTGTGGTGCCTGATGAAACCAGGAACAGAGGTTCTGGTGAGTCATAATTTTTGTAGTAAAATATTTTAAACATTTTTCAATGTTTATCAGGAAAACTTCCAAAGTGGATGTGGCGAGGAGAGTGAGAAGATAGCAAATAGCCCTGGTTTTTTTTTTTTTTTTTTGCTGATATTTTCCATGTCAGAATATAATGGCATGTTGTCTTATAATTTCAATAGCTAAGAGGAAAAGACAGAGCTCTCTAATAAATCCTTGCATTCCTAGGAGGAGAAATGGAAAAACAGTCTCATCGTACAGTTAGAGAGAATGAAGCACATTAAATCAAGTGCAGTGATGTGGCAAACTTGCATTAGCTCTTAGCTTAAATAGCTGCCATGTGCAGACACTCACTGCACCCTTTCCTCTGCAGGCCAGCACCACTGTCCTCCTCAAACTGGGTCCTGCTGTACCCACTGTCTCAGTGGGTGAGGCCCCCATGCCCATGTCACTCACACGAGACTCTAAGGCTCTCTTCAGCCCTCTCTTCTCCTCCCACCACAAGTCCTGCTGAGGTCCCCTAGTGGTGAAATCTGTCCTCTCTCTTCTCTTCCCAATGGTGTTGCCTTGGGTCAGGCCTTCAGCTTGTCACTCCAGAGCCACTGCTAGAGCCATCTGACCAGTTCTTATCCACCTTCTACCAACCCACCACTCAGTGGTTCTCAATGTGAGTCTCAGATCAGCAGCATCAGTATCACATGTGGACTTGTTTGGCCCCACTTAGAGGGACTGAATTGGAAACTTCTGACATGAGGCCCAGCAACCTGGATTTAACCACCTTTCCTGGTCATCCTGATGCCCTGAAAGAATAAGAAACATGGGACCTGAAGTATTTCTTTACTCTGCTTGCTAATCAAAGTATTACCTATAGCCCAGTAACATTGGCATCTCCTGAAATTATATTAGAAATGGAAAATTTCAAGTCCCACCCAGACCTACTGAATCAGGATCATCTGTTAAGATCCCCAGCTGATTCTCGTGCACACAGATGTTCTAGAAGAACTGCACCAATGGCAGAGCAATCTCATAAAATGCAAATCTGAACATGTGACTCTCCTGTTGCAAAAACAATCATTCAACAAGTTTCCACTGGCTTGAAAACAAAAGCTAAACTCCTTCACAGGGGTCCCTCAGCCTTTCAGGATCTAGCTGCTACCTACTTTGATCTCCTGCCACTGTCACACCCAACCCCACGCTCCAGCCTTGGATTGCTGTATGCTTTCCACAGATACCTGTATCCATGGCTTTATGTGTACAGCCCCACCACTTAGAGTCCCATTAAGTTTTCCCTGTCCATATCCCCACAAGGTTGTAAATGTACTCTAGTCACATACAGAGGTTGCTGTGCTGTGGGCCAAACCCCCATATCAGTACAGCTGATCACTGTGAGAGCTGCAGAAATGCTAGCCATGTCTCTGGAGGTCTTTGCTTTGTTTTGTTTTGTTTGCGGTACTGGGGCTTGAACTCAGAGCTACACCTTGAGCCACTCCACCGACACTTTTTGTGTTAGGTATTTGCAAGATAGGGTCTTGTGAACTATTTGCCTGGGCTGGCTTTGAACTGTGATCCTCCTGATCTTTGCCTCCTGAGTAGCAAGGATTATAGGCGTGAGCCACTGGAGCCCAGCTCTCTGGAGTCTTAAACTCTAAGATGCAAACTCACTGGCTAAAAGAGACAATGCCCCTGCTCAGAAGAACAAGGCACTTAATCAGTAAGTTAATTAAATAAGAAAAAGCTGAATAATTGAAAATCTACTTGGGGCATCCAATTTAACCTATGCTTCCAAGTTTCCGAATGAAATATGCTTTGTAGTCACATAGACAAACAACTTTTACAATTGAAAAAAAAAAAGTGTTGGCAAAACAACCAAGAAAATGGACTCAGATAAAATTGACACTCACAGTCATCACTTGAGACAGGCCTAGAAAACCAGCATTGGCAAAGACGTTGGAAGACGCCCCAGGCCTTGACTCACACAAGAGATACTGTGGCACATGGAGAAGGGCTTTTTTCTCTGCTCTCCTGATGCTTTTTAAAGCAGCTTCATTTAATTCAAGATGAGATTTGTTGTGTGCTCATTATAAGCCATTCCTGTGGTCCACCCAGACAGAGAGAAGTGGCCACACCAGCAATACACTAGTGATACACAGACTTGATAGCCTGTGGGAGCTCGCTCAAATTTCATGAGAATTCTTTTCTTTGTAATAACTCTGTGTGTGTGAATACATATGACAAAACGAGCTAGAAAATACAGATTTTGCTAGCATGAGACAGAAATGTTCATTCTCCTCATTAAAGTGGGATTGCAATTAATTAGGGTCTCATGGAGGGAGAGGGTTGCAGCAGCGCATTTATTTGCCTACTGCTGAAGTTGTCAGAAAGGGAAGTAAAGCAATTATCACCGAACATTTGTCTGATGATGGAGAGATTACAATTTATACACAGTCTCCCATTCTGCTCTGTGCTTTAATTATCATTTATACACACAGCCCTGTATGAGTAAAATATAGGGTATCGACATAATAGTGCACAGAGCTAGGATTTAGAAGATGCCTCTAAGCATTTTAAATGTGTTATTGGCTCCTCCCTACATCAGCTCTGTGAGGTAAGGATTATTACCGCCTCTCTTTTATAGATGAAGAGACTAGACCCAGAGAGGTCAGGTCCATGCCCCAGGTCACAGCCGGTCAGTGAGAGTAAAACTGCTTAGGCAATACACACTTGGGGCACCTGACTCTACAGTCCACATACTTTACTGTGCTTGGCAGGTGCTCTAGCCATGATTCCTTCTTACTTATTCCCAGAGAGCCTCTTTGCTTTCTTTTCCTGTCTTCTAAAAGCAGATCACTTTGCTTTCTCCTACAAGTAGAGGACCAAGATCATACACATCCACAAGCATCCTGCTAGTCGGGATCTGACAATTAAGTTTCCTCTGTGCCTGTCTGTTTATTTAATGACATGCTCACCCTTCATGTTCCTGTTTCAGAAGGTGGAATGAGAGTTTTAGCTCTCTTGTGAGATAAAAGTCTGTCTTTCTTTTCTGCTGCCTTTTTAAAATGAAATCACCTACTCTTTATATATGTTTTACATATATTTATATGATAAATTACACATATAATCATATAACTTAGGTAATTATGTATGTATAACAAACATGAAGTAAGAATCATTCTTTTCAGTGAACCATCCTACATGCTTTCACGTGTTGATGTAGCTCCTGCTCTTTCCAGAAGTCATGCTTTGAATATAGCGTGAGTAAAAGCACTGAAACTGAAACCAGAGTCCTTCACTGAGCCCCAACAGTGCCTTCACTAAATATAAGCTCCATGAGGACAGGCACCTCTTCTTGTTCATAGAATATAGCCTGGTACATAGTAGCCTCTCAATAAATATTAGCCAAATACTTTTCAACAAAGTTTTATTCTGTAAAGAGAGAGAACATAAATTCCAGGTATTTAACCTTTGAATACCTGCATTGTCACATCTGTAAAATGGGAATGAATACTGTCCACCATGTAGAGGTTATGTAAGAATTAATCTCATATGCAGAAAAGCACACATAAAATATAAAGTGTCATACAAAGATATGGGAATGGGGATGGATCTGAAGAAAGTTGGAATTGATGTCTGATAGTGAACCAACTATATGCTTCAGAGAATGTCACCCTAAATCAATCATTTAGCATGAATATCGCCTCACAGTTCTGCCATTATATGGCTACCTGCACTATTTTTCTGCAAGGTATCTCATTTTATTGCTTCAAATATAGCTTTGTCTGTGAAATTATGGGTTTGATAGAGTGGTGATACATTTTTCTAAGACATATATTATAAAATACAAAACAACCAAGCAGTTTTCATACTTTATGATCCTTGTGCTATTTAGTCACTCCCTATTTTGTTGCTTTTTCTCTCCTAATATATTTGAAGTAGTATACACTCACGTCTACTCTGCTAACTCAAAACCCGTTTAGTGTCTAAAAGTTTTGTTTGCATTTTTCTTGTTTTTAAGTCTATAAACCACAGAGAAGCACACGTCTTATAAAAACGTAACATGTAATGAGACATCTAACTCAGAAGTTTCAGACCTTCATGTTATGTACACAAAGCTATGTATATAACACTTTATTAGTAACAAGGATTAATTTTCAAGGGTAAAATTAAACGTGAATTTTCCTCACACACTAACTTTAGGCTGGAATGATCACAGCACCAATGGGGTGTGTGACCTAAGCTATCATTAATATTACATTAGGTCCTACCACAAGCAAACATTTTCTTCCTGCTTTGAAGCTCCTGCCTCTAGTTAGATGTTCTAGAAAATTCCTGTTCTCAGTCTGAGTGATGCTTCTGGCAACCTCTTATTTCTGCCTCTCTCATTTGCAGAGTATAGTTGACTGACACTCTTATACTCCACTGGATGAAGTCTTTCTTAGGTACAGTTACCATTGCATCCTACCTCCTAAAATTCTCTGATGACTCATTGGTTCATTCATTCATTTATTTACTCATTCAGCAAATACCTATGGAGTATATATACATATAAATGACAAGATGTTCAATAAGAAGATAACTGGAAGATCTAACAAGCTGTGGGGTCAGGGAAGTTTTCTGTAAGGAAGTAACATTTAGCTGAGACATGGAGTAGCTAGTTGAAGAAGCAGGCATGTGTGTGAGAATGAGGATCGGGGATGATGGAATATTCAAAACTGTAATTGGTACTAGCAGGTGCAAAGGCCTGCAGTGGGAGCAAATGCAGTAGATTCTAGACAATGGTTGGAGAAGGAAGGTACAGAGGCAACCCGAGATGGTTCTGGAGACATCAGCAGGGACTGTGTCACACAGTGTCTTATGAGTCATGTCTAATTAAGGACTTTGAACTCTCCCTTAAGATCAATTGGCTGGGTGCGGTGGCTCAAACCTGTAATCCTAACTCCTTGGAGACAGAGATTAGGAAGATCATGGTTCAAGGCTAGCCTAAGCAAAAAGATTGCAAGACTCCATCTCCATCAATAGGTTAGTGTGGTGGTGCAACCCTGTCATCCTAGCTATTCAGGGAAGCACAAATAGGAGGATCATGGTCTACACCAGCCCAGGCATAAATAACCAATTCAAAAATGACTGGGGTTGTGGCTCAAGTGGTAAAGTGCCTGCGTGGCAAGTACAAGGTCCTGAGTACCACTAAAAAAAAGAAAGAAAGAAGAACATCAATTGGAAGCCATTGATAGGACTGGGAAGGGACACCATCTAGTTTCTGCTTTTAAATGTCACTCTGTCTGCACTGTGGAGAATGAGTGTGGGGGTGCAGGAAGATGTGAGGAGGCTGGTTATAAGGCCATAGCAGTAGCACAAGCAAGAAATAGTGTGTGGACCAGGAGAGTGAAGATGGAGAGAAGGAGCCAAATATGAGTTATGTAGGGGACAGGGCTGATAGAACCTGGTGATGGATTAGACATGGGTACATAGTAGACTAAGAAGGTCAGGTAGTTTCCTGGGTTCCTCTTGGACAATTGGGCAGACAGTGGGGCAAAGGAGGTGCTATTTGCTGGATTAAGGTAGCTGGGAGCAGAGGTTTGTGAGAGAAGGAGGTCACACTGACACACTCACAGGTAGACATCGAAGTGAAGATGTCCAGTTTATTTTAAAAATCTGTATTAGCTTAGGAGAGAGGTCAGGGCTTCAGACATAAATTAACCATAGTACTCTGTGAGGCAACGATGATCATTAGAGTGATAAAACAGGAGGGCAGAATTGTTCTTCACTAAAGAATCACAAGACATGAATCCTCACACTGAGGAGTTTAATTTTCCACTGATCTAGCTGCATACATTAAATATGTACAAAAAGCTTTTTGTATGCCTATCATCTCTCAATAAAGTAGTTTTTAAAATTTGATGCATAGGAGAAAAATAAATGCTTGATTGCTTAAACAGTGACACATAACTTTAGATATCAAGGGTTTAAATAAAATATGCCAAAATATTTAATAAACAGCTATCATTAAGATGACTCAGTCTCCTTCATCCAGACTCAGGGAGAGAATAAGCTTTATTTTCCTAGCTCAGAAGTGGTTGGGAAGATTTTGTTTCCTTGAAAGTCAGACTTGCTTGAGCAAAGCCCTCATTACTCTGTGGATTCTAAAGGATGCTGGGTACTGCTTAAATAAAAAGCTGAAGTAAATACATAAAGACTTATGAATCAAGTCCACAATAAAAATAAGTTGTCTCTTCTAATAAAAAGGTAAATTAAAATAGAATCTCTGACTCACTGAGCTTACCAATTGCATAGGTCTAAGTGTGACCCAGGCATCTGTTTCTAAAAGGCTGCATGGGTGATTCTGACATGAAGTCAGAGTTGATGTGAAAGTTCAAAGTGAATATCATGTTCCTCACAGAGAGCAGGTGTTCAATACAGAGCACTAAAGACACCAGAAAAAAACCCTTGGACATCGTAAACACTTTTAGCAAAATTCACTAACTTATCTACAATGGACAAACTAAGAAAGAAACCAGGAAACAATCCCATTCACAATAGCTCAAACTTACTGAAGGAAGTGAAAGATCTCTGTAATGAAAAATTATAAATCACTGAAGAAAAATAGAAGAAGACATCAGAAGATGGAAAGATCTTTCATGCTCATGGATTGTCAATCAATATTGTGAAAATGGCTATACTACCAAAAGCAATCTATATGTTCAATATATTCCCCATAAAAATCCCAATGATATTTTTCACAGAGATAGAAAAATCAATTCTAAAGTTCATATGGAAGCACAGAAGATCTTGAATAGCCAAAGAAACCCTGAGCAAAAAAAAAAAAAGCAATGCTGGAGTTATCATAATACCTGACTTCAAACTGAGCTAGAGAGCAATTTAAAAAAAAAAAGTGGTACTAGTATAAAAACAGACATGAAGACCAATGGAACAGAATAGAAGACTCAGCAATAAATCCACACAGCTACTGCCATTTAATATTTTACAAAAGATTCCAAAACATATGTCAGAGAAAAGACAATCTCTTCAACAAATGTTTCTGGGAAAACTTGATATCCAAATGTAAAAGACTGAAACTAGATCCCTGTCTTTCACCTGGTACTAATTCCAATTCAAAGTGGATCAAAGATCTCAATATAAGACCTAAAACTTTGAAACTACTACAGTAAAGAATAGGGAATACACTGGGATTTATATAAGCATAGGTAATAACTTCCTGAATTGAACTCCAATAGCACAGTGAATAAAAGACTGATAAATAGGACCACATCAAACTAAAAAGCTCTGTACAACAAAAGAAACAATTACTAGACTGAATAGCCTAAAGAATGGGAGAAAAATCTTTTCCAATCATACATCTGCCAAGGGATTAATAACCAGAATTTACAGGGAACTCAAAAAACTAAACTCTCAAAGAATCAACAGCCCAATAAAGAAATGGGCAAATGAACTGAACAGACAATTTTCAAAAGAAGAAGTAAGAATGGTGAATTAATGCATGAAAAAATTATCAACATCCCTAGCCATAAAGGAAATGCAAATCAAAACTACACTGAGATTTCACTTCACTTCAGTCAAGATGTCTGTCATAAAGAACATAAACAACAACAAATGTTGGCCAGGATACAGGAGAAAAACAACCCTCATACACAGTTGGTGGAAACCACAGTATGGCGATTCCTCAAAAAAAATTAAAATAGAAGTACTATATTATCTAGTGATACCACTACTGGACATATATCCTAAGAATATAAGTCAGGATAGACTAGAAACACTTGCACACCCATGTTATTGTAGCACTATTCATAATAGCCAAGCTAGGGAAACAGCCTAGATGCCCTAAAGTAATGAATGGATTAAGAAAATGTGGCAGATCTACACAATGAGTATTGTTCAGGCATAAAGAAAAATGAAATTATATTGCTTGCAGGTAAGTGTATGGAACTAAAGATCATCATGTTAAGTGAAGTAAGCCAGGCTCAAAAGGACAAAGGTCACATGTTTTCTGTCATATGTGGAAGATAGACCCAAAAGATAAACCTACACACAAATACAAACATGATCTCATATATACATATATAGAACATATTTGCAGCACTGGGACTGTTTGAGGGAACTAGGGGGAGGAAGGAGAAGAAAATAGAACGATGAAGAGTGAACATTATTGAAATACACTCCATCTGTGCTGGAAGATGGCATAACAAAATGCATTGAAAGCCACTGAATGATAGGAGGTGGTAGGAAAGGATGAGGAAAAGTAATAGAGGGGATTAATGTGATTAAAATACAATAGGTGCATATGTGAAATACCTTGGTGAAACCCCTTTGAACAATGAATATACACGTAAAAATGAAGGACAGGAATGTAAAACAGTTAGAGTGGGTACTAGTAAGAGGAAAATGAGAAGGGTAAAGGAGGGCAAACATGGTTGATGTACTTTATATTCTTGTATGAAAACAGAACCATGACACCAGTTGACATTGTTTTAAGAAGGGGGAAGGAGGTAAGGTAGAATGATGGTGTGGGTGATCTAACCAAGGTACATTAAATGCCATAATGAAACCCCCCTGCACAACTAATATATGCTGATAAAAATGTTTGTTAAAAAAAAAAACACCCTAGGGAGCATCACCTTTCCATATGCTTGTTCAAAATGTTTAACCTTATTTTAATCACAAGGAACTAACCAGAACAGCCCAAATTTAGGATCTTTCTGCAAAATAATTGACTTGAACTCTTTAACATGTCCATGCTACAAAAATGAAGATAGAGGAAGAGGGAGAAAGAAGGAAGCTCTGGGAGAAAAACGTAGGGGAGATTGTTTTTTTTTTTTTTAATTAAAGGAGATGAAGACATAAGAAAAATGCTGGGGCTGTAGCTCAGTGGTAAAGTGCTTGCCTAGCATGCACAAGGCCCTGGGTTGGATCCCCAGCACCTAGATAGATATATGATAGATAGGTAGATAGATGATAGATAGATAGATAGATAGATAGATAGATAGATAAATAGATAGATAGATAGTTTTTAAAATATAGAGAAAGGAAAATAAAATACAATTCATGATCCTACACTGTTTTATTAAAAACTAAAACAAAAGCCAGCTATAAAAAGCATTTGAATATGGATCAGATATTAGAATATTATTACACCAGTGTTAAATTTCCTAATTGTAATAATTTTATTCTAATTATGTCGAGAAAATATCATTGTTTCTAAAAGATATGTGGTGATATATTTAGAGGGGAAGCAACTGCTACTAATTTTTAAATGGTTCAGCTGAAAGCAATGTTGTGTCAAAATGTCATGGATATAGTTACATATTATACTAGTCTTGTGACTTTCAGAGCATTTAAAAATTTTTAAATAACTAAAAATTTTCAATGCTTACAGAGATACCAGTTGGAATATATGTAAAAAGACCAAGCAAATTATTCTGTTCATAAAAACCTAGGCATTTTAATAAACAAAACATTGTTAGAGAAAATTAAAACCCTTTCCATCTCTTGTAGGAAATTCATGGGATGCAGAATATTTGGAATATCAAGCAGGGAATGACTGTTATCCCCAGAAAACTGGCAAAATGGAAACGTGGTTCCGTGAACAAGAGGCCCAGGGAAAGCTTCTCTGGGATAGTTCTAGCTCTGACTCAGAAGAGATGAGCAAAGATGAGAAACAACCACGAGCACTGGTGAGGACCAGGACAGAGAGAATCCCACTTTTTGATGAGTTTTTTGACAGAGAATGAGGGTGCTAGAAGATTGCTTTTCTGTCAAAATCCTTCAAGTTACCATATGAATTACTTTGAAGAAAGTGATTTACTTTGGTAATTTAAAAAGATATCATTTGGAGTCTTCTAGTTAACAGCTTTGTCCTGCATGCTGTTCACTATTGTAGAACTGCCTCAAAACTAAACCACCAAAGCAATGGCTATTGTATTGTTTCACCTTTCTGTGGGTGACAGGGCTGTGCAAGGTGCTTCTTCTGCTAGTCTCAGCTCTCTTCTCTGGTTGAAATCAGATGGCATGTAGACTTGGAGTCATCTGAAGGCTCCACTAGGACACTGGGACTGCTGGACCATGCCTGTTCTCTTCTCTTCACATGGTCTCTGCAACAAGGTAGAAACATTTTCCTCATACCAGCCCAAGCCTCCCAAAAGCAAATACCCGTGAGGAAGAAACAGAAGCCATCACGCTCTACTCATGGAACCAGCTCTACATCACCTCCACCACATCGTAGAAGTTAACACAAGTCACAGGTCACATGGTAGCCAATGAGAGGGGTCTACACAAGGGCATGCATGTCAAAGGGTTGTCCTTTGGAATCCATTATGGAGACTTGCCACCACGCCAGGCTGTTAAAGGCAAATTAAGTCTTGTCAAACAAATGAAGGAGAGAGCAGATTTGATGCAAATGGAAGTGATTTCTTAAAGTCAGTTATGCTACTGTAGACATTAAACTCACTTAGGCCACTTTTTAATGAGTAAAATAATAGAGAGGTTTCAAGAAAGAGGTAGAATAATGTCAGGCATGGAGGGCTGTTGTGAATTAAGGCTCAAAATTAAGACCTCTTACATTATATGGTAGATTTCAGAGTACTTTAAAACTAAAGGAAATCTTAGAAATGCTTGGTCCAAAGGTTATTCCATTTGTAAAAATGATCTTTAGACACTTCTAAAGATCTTTTGTGTAAAATCCAGCTTCAGGTGTAGTAAAATCTAAAAATAGTTTCAAGCAATCCAGAAATTTCCAAGAATTTAGTAAAACTTTAAAGCAAAGCAAAATAAAAACACCTTTTCAAGCCTTCAGCAGGAAACTTCCAAAAAGAAAACAGAGAGGAAAATGCCACCTGAATTTGACATTCAGCCTATTCAGGCCAGTTTCTAAGAAGATAAAAAGCCTGAAATGTCATGAAATGAACACTTAGGTTTCTTCCACAGGTGGAAGTTGATTAGGCCATCTCTGAGCCTGTGTACTTCCAGTTCTTTGTGAGTACTCTTCATACTTTTTTTGTGATAGACAAGAAACTTATTTCCATCAACAAAGGAAAGAATAAACTGACCAACTAGCCTTCTCAAAAAAGTAAAGCTCTTAAGAAGATAAATGAATCCAACCTATCCATAGTGTCCTGTTATGATGGTGGATCCGGAAACCTTAAAATGGGATGGGAAACTCGCTACACTAAAGATAGTGGGACCAAAGCACGCATCCATGGCTCTGCCCTGTCACTTGAAATTGGACAAAGCTCTGTTGTACAACTCATTGGACTATAAACTCCACAAGAGAACATGGACCATGTCTTCTCCCTATGGTATCTCTATTTCCTAGCACGACATCTGGCATAGAGTTTATTATTAAATGTTTGCTGAATTCATTAATTTAATGTGTCGAGTTAACTAGTCAATTAGAGAGGCACTTGTTTCTCTCCAGCTATGCAGTTGTTCCTACCCTTTTCTCAAGAGTCTTATACAGACGAGGCTGATTATACAATAAAGGGACTTTTAAAAAAGCTCTTGGAATTTGTACATCTAAATTGATGACCTAAATTAAACATCACTGTGGGGGTACAGAAGCTATATACATATGCCTAGGAAGATGCCATAGCTCAAAATATTTCTCCAAGCCAGGCACTAGTGGCTCACGCCTATAATCCTAGCTACTTGGGAGGCTGATACTGGGAGGCCAACCTGGGGAAATAGTTCCTGAGACACCATCTCCAAAAATAATCAGAGCAAAATGAATGCACTGGATGTGTGGCTTGAGCAGTAGAGTGTCTTCTTTGCAAATGTGAAGCCCTGAGTTCAAACCCAGAGCCACCAAATATACATATAATTTCTCAAAAGTCTATCAGAATATGTTAGCTCCAAAGACCATCAGAATGCCCTCTCTGATCTTGTTCACGTGCCCCATGTGAGACTCTTCCTCATTCAATTATAAATTCAAGAATTTGAAAAGGACAGTGATGATCAGAACTACCAATGTGCATGGACTGCCTACTTGTGCCAGGCACGCTTCAAATGCTTTGCATATGTAATCCTCACATGAGCTGTGTGGGTCAGTGTTAGTGTCATTCCCCATTTTACAGATTAGGAACAGAGGCCCAGAGAGGCTGTGTAACTTGCCAGAGTCACCTAGCACAACTTCCTTTGAGCTAAACCATTGTTTATCAAAAGTGAACTGCTGGGAGCCAGGGGCTTCTCCCTCCTTTTTTCCCCAATTTTACTTCTACACAACAGCTTCATTAGGTGGCACCCCACATTTCTTTTCTATTACGTACTGTAGGGGGGTTTTCTTGCTGTTGTTTTGAAAGGCAAAATAATATACTGGGAAGGACAAGAGTTTTGTCGAATTATTTTATAGGAAGGAAGAACAGCTTAACTGATAGATAAACTGTGGCCACAGAGTAGGCTAACTAAAACCATCTGAAACAGCAGATGCAGCAGAGACAAACTTAACTGTCTTCACATTGAGCCTGGAGGCAGCAAGGTGAGCAGCCCCACCCCCACCCAGATGGAATGCTGCTGCAGGCTATGCCCAGAGCTGGGGACAGCAGTGTGCTGTGCTGGTGACAGGTTAGAACCACCAGTTGAGTGATTTTAAAAAAAAAAATCTAATAAATCAAAGTGTCTGGGTCCTCCTTTTGATTTTGGGGAGGTGGTAGTTGTAGCACCCTAAGACTGGATTGGTGGGTTCTTTGTTTAGCTTCCAGATAAATCTAATGTTGAAAATCACAGCTTTAGCAGTATAAACACTTTGTACTTTAGCAGACTAGATCAACTTCAATCTAAAAACAATAACTTCTAAGGTAATTTTTTGAAGTTAAGGATAGGAAGCCTGGAGATCCACAAGAAATTGTTCATTTTGTTAGTGATCATCTGAGATACCAATCCTGTAGTTCATCTTGAATTTGTTCGGGCCAATGTACAGCCATCATAAACACAGTTGTTGCTGGTGAAAACTATAAAATTCAGCCTGAGGCAAACTTGTCAGTTTTCTTCAACTGAAAAATCTCTCCAGCTTTGGAAAACAGGGCTTGCCTATGAACAAATGTATGCTTTCGCTTGTAAAAACAATACTTTGCTTCTTGCTCTGAACTTTTCATGAGAAAAATAATTTTTTGCATACTCTTGGAAATGTATTTCTCTCAATTTTTTTTAAGCAGGAGCTATTTTTCCTGTCTTTATTTTATTTGTTTGGCAGTACTGGGGAATGAACCCAGAGTCTTCTGCATGCTAGGCAAGCACTTTACCACTTGAGACAGGCCCCTCAGCTTTTATTTTGATGATAGTTATAAGCTACTAAGCTAAGGTTTACCTAAAGATGACTTCTGCCAGAGTGATCTATGAAATAGCCTTGTAAACAAATGTATAATGTTTCTGCTTGTACAGAGTTTTTAAAAGCAGAAACGATAATGACAATTCCTGTGCCGCTTGCCTTTCTTATGGAGGCATACTTGTCATCAAATTGTAATTTACATCAACTATTTCCTGCCTTGAATGAAGAAGAGAAGCCAGTTTCCACATTACTGTAAACCTCACTAATTTAGCAGCCTGTCTGGGGGGGGTGAAAGTACACTAAGGGTTAATATAGGGACGGTCAGAACATTAAAATTTGAATGATATCTCAATTTTAAAGAAATATTATTTTACTCAAGTACAGAAAACAATACTGCAATAGAGAAGTAAGCTAATAGCTGGGTGACAGTGCTCATGCCTATAATCCTAGCTACTTGGAGGCTAAAACAGGGAGGATTGCAGTTTGGGCCAGCCTGGCAAATAGTTTGTGAGATCCCATCTCCAAATTAACCACAGCAAAATGGACTGGAGGTATGATCCAACCTGTAGAGCTCATGATTTGGGAGTGCCTGCTTTGTAAGCACAAAGCCCTGAGTTCAAACCTGAGTCCCCCACACCTTCCCCCACCCCCAAAAAACTAAAACTAATAGTCAAGTCTCATTTATAGATACACACTTCATAATAAGTCTAACAATCCATCACTCATTTAATCATGCACTAAAGAATAGGTTTTGTGTGTGCACTACACACCAAATAGTTGCAGCTGCTGAGACTGCAGTCATAAGCAAGATAAAGTGCCTATACTCATAGGTTATATTCCTGTGGGAGACCATGAGCAAACAGTCAAGTACATAATAGAATTCCATGTAATCTTAAACATTAGGAAGAAAAATAAAGCAAGCAAGAGGCTAGACATGGATGTAGTGGACTGTTAGCTGGGATGCTCGGGAAGGGACTTTCTGAGGAAGAGCATAAAGGGAGGTGTAAGCAATAGGAAGCCCTGTGAAACAGGCTTTCTAGACATCAGAGAAGATGTACCTTTGCCTTGAGATGGGACTGAGCCCAATGTTCTAGGGCCAAAAGACTAAAACGGCAGAGCGAGCAAATAGGACTGTATTAATTGTTTTCTGTTACCATAAAAATATCTGAGACTAGCTGCTTTAGTTTTAAAGAAGTTGATTTAGGTCACATTTTTGCAGGCTGCAAGACCAGGATTGGGCAGCCCCATCAATATGGCTTCTGGCTGAGAACCCCTTGACTGCCTCACATGGGAATATGATGGTGGAACATGTGCAGAAGAAATCACATACTGAGACAGGAAGCCAGAGAGATTCAGGGTCAGACTCACTGAATTGAATAGCTTTCAATTGGGTTATTTTTATTCTGTACTTAAATAAAATAGTACTTCTTTAAAAGGAGATGCAATTCAGACTCGTTTGGCGGGCTGTGGTTC